TGAACACAGTAACCTGCGTGTGTTCATCGATTGGGTTCAGTACGATACAGCTAACGAGGTATCGTACGTGTTGGGCGTAAGCGTGTATATCACGCTTACCCTGTTTCAAATCCAGGAGCTCAGCCCGAGCCCTGAATTCGGCGCGAGGCGGTTCAAACGTGTGTTTGATCCGCGCCTTGAAGACGTCATACGTTGGGAAAACGTATGGGTCGTGCAGTTTGAGCCCTAAGGCCCAAGCTTTGGCACGTCCTGCCAAGTTCGACATGGCGAACTTGACCTTCATCGCATCGTCATCGATGCGACGAGCCTCAATGGCATCGTCGAGCTCGACGAACCATCTCAACAAGGAGTCGCTTTCGACTGCCTTGTACTTGGAGACATCATCTTCAAGGACTCGGGTCGACGTGTATACGCCGACCCAGGAGAAACAGCACTAGCCTGCTGTTGTCTCAACAGTTCATACTGTTGAGCACCCTGCTGCATCAACAAGTCAGCTTGTTGAGCGCCTTGTTCTCTCAACAGTTCAACCTGTTGAGAACCTTGCTTCTCTAACAAGGTGAGTTTCTTTACAACTTCGTCAAGTTCATGTTGTATGAACTTGGCGATGGTTGCATGTTGGTCGTCTCCGCTAAGAGAGAGCAACATGGCACCAACGGCAGGGTTGCCGATGGTTTCAGCCATACGCTGAACCGCATTCCATTCGAGGTCACTCAAATGGCGGAAATCATCACGCGTTGCGTGATGACGTTCATCACCCGCTGATTCCATAGCGGGTGGTGCGGTGGTCGCTGAACGGACCACGAAGTGCTACCAGGTGTAATGGGGCACCCTCCGACTATACTGATTACAGTATAGCCTACTTTCACTGATTACAGTGAAAGCAGGTGCCTCAATTACCTCTCTTACACAAGAGGCAGAGGAAGCTTTACTTCTAAACAAAGGCTTAGAAGTAGGGGAAAAGAAAACTGTATTTAATATAGTTAACTATCTTAATAAAACTAATCTGTTATAACCTATGTTAACTATATTAAACTACAACTATGTATGTTGACAACTTGCCCTCCACTCATTGCGCGCGTCCATCGGTCATTGGTCAGCGCGTTGGTTGATATGATGGCCCATATCAACCAATGAGAGGGCATCTCCAACTTCAAGGAGATCTAGGAACAATATTATAAGAGAAGGTAATATTGTCAAATATTATTAGTTATAATAATATTTTATTGACACTTCATATAAGTGTCAATATTATGTAACGGGCTCGCCCCGTTACACTTGTTGCAGTAGGAAGGCGATAAGATTCTGTATATTGATTGCTTTGTCTTTTTGTCTACCTGTCTCCTAGCCACTCTTTCTTCAAACACTCTGTGCTCCAACCATCTCGATATAAATGGTTGATAGTCAACTTGTCTACTACCCTTGCATTGACCATCCATGATCAGATGACGGCTCGCACTAATCGCAAGTCGCAATCTTCAACCTCAACTTCCAAAAGAATTTGCAGTAGCTGTTACTGCAGGGAACACCACCTCTTTTAGAGGCTTCATTTAGTCTTTTTTTGCTGTTTGAACCCGTTCATTGCGTCGGATTTAGCGGCACTTGTGGATCAATTTAAAGCGTCAAAACGACGTGAAGAAGAACAAGAAGAAGAAAAAGAAAGTTTGAAAGAAGAAGATTAAGATGTTAAGACGTCATATATCCAGCAATTGAACGAGTGAAAGAAGAGAGAAAACGACCGAGGAAGAGACCTCGAAGAAGATTTGAAGATTTCGACAATTGTGATGTGTCATCGTCAGCAAGTGATGACACACTGACGTCATCTCCTTAACAGATGGTACTGCTACTGATGTCAAGGTGACAACATAAGCGAAGAAGGATCCTATGATGGAAGAAAAAGAGAAGAATGAAGAGAAGAAGAATGGAGAGTTGGAAGAGCGTACAGAGATTGAAGAGAACAAAATGGAGGTTAAAGAGAAAAAGATAGAGATTAAGGAGAAAGAGATTGTGCAGATTGTTGTCGAGAAAGAAGAGAGTGTGGAGAAGAATGAGGTGGAGAAAAATAGGGTGAAGAAGAACGAAGCGAAGACGGACGAGGTGGAGACTGCGATGGCGAGTTTTAAAGACGATACGAATGAGTATGTTGCTGGATCTATTGTCAAAGATTGTGTTGGTGGCAAAGAGAAAAGATATGGATCCAGCCATGTTTACACTGACAAATGGAGAGAAATAGGCTGGGAAAGATGAGAAGCAAGTGAACTTGATAAAGATATAGGATCGAGTTGCAGAAGGCGTGGTTTTTGAGTGGATGCAGTTTGCAGAACAGATTTATCTTTTTGGTCAGCATGTGGTGACAGATGCAGAGTATCGCGAGTGGCCTGAAGCGAGACGAAAGGGTGTGGAATTGCTGCACTTTGCGAGGACGCTGAAGCGGAAATGGAGGGGAGGCTGCGGCTCGTAAAGAAGAGAACGAAGCTGTTTGCAATGAGAAAGCAATAACGACATGGTAGAAAAGAGTTCCGCAGACGAGAACGATGATCAAGCAATGAAGGCCACTGCTTTGATTCTCACGCGTCGAGAAGTAAGACAGCCAACGAAGAATTTCTTGACCCTGAATCGTTTTCACCCCAACGCGCCTCAACGCGAATCCGAAAACGCCGGGTATTGCCAGTGATGGTACGGGTTCTGCAGCTCCCTCTCTTTCTTCGCGCAACTCTCGAAAATGCATGCACGTCGCATCTGTATCTGCTGCGTCTGCGAGCAAGGAAGTGAGTGGCTTGGAAAGTCTTGACGCCTCTGCTTCTGAAGCAGACACGAAGTTACGTGAAGAACGTAAAACGACCAAGTCTCCAGCAAAACATACCCCGGCACGCAGGTGTCGACCCTAATTGCCAGCAACACGTATCAGCTCACGTCAACAAAAAATGACGAGCTGCTGCTGCTGCAGCAGCGGCGGCCGCTGATAGTACGGGTAATGGCAACGAAGAAGAGCATGGCGGTAGTGAGGCTCTTTCTCGGTCGCGAAAAAAGAAGATGATGATGATGGCGCTAATGGGGAGAATGAAAAGACGAAGAAACGTTGAGCAGGAGGAAGAACAACTGACTTCGAAGAGAAAAAACAGCACCGAAAACGAGGTTTCGAAGAAAAAGGTTGGCGCAAGCGATAAGCAAAATACAATAGGCAAATCATCAGCAAGGTTTGAGACACAAACCTCTGTCAAGTTTCTCTTGCTCAATTCACTGTTGACATAGCAAGCTACACCGTGTACATCTTGAACAGCGAATGAATTAATTTTAACTCCGTAATGGTTGCAAAGGCTCTTTCCACTGTAAATACTTCCCACAATTCTTTTCAAAGCCCACAGAAGCCCCTGAACGCACGTCCACAATGTGAGAGTGCTTTGCCTCGATGTGATGGTCAAAACGACAGCGACATCGCCGTTCATCACTGCCTTGTCTTCTCTTCATCAATAAGCAGCAATTTTTCCCATACTGGCCATTTTCGGCGTGGGCGCTCCACCACTCCTAGTAGTGACGAAGTGCCAGTATACTAGCACCTTCAAGCATACCTTCAGGCGTCTCCTGGATAGACTGATATTCGGAAATCACTCTCAGTTGTTGGGTGAGTAGGCCCCTTCCTTCGCGAGCTTGGTGGAGAATGGTACCTTGATGAGCGTGCCCAAAGCTAAAGCCGTGTCGTCAGCTTCGAATCCATCACGGTAGAACGTAGTAGCACAACGAGCACTTGGTTGTAGCTTGAGACGGAAATGGTCTGCCATTGTTGGAAGTCCGATCAGGTGGTGACCGTCTACAAGGAGATCCAATTCCTGTACAACCTCTACAACATCGTCACCAATAGTACGAAACACAAGCGTCACATTGAGCTCCTCTTACGTCACATTGAGAGACGTAAAGTAAGATAGAAATTGCAAAATGATGGCAACAAGTAGTACCGTCCTTGACTCCACGCTTCCTGTAGTCGAGATTTAAATACGTTACAGCCAATTGCTTGGAGCTTCACATTGTTTTCCGTCAAGTAAATGGAGCTTTTGCATCACGTCTTAAAGTGATTGTCGGACACGAGAACGGGAGCATACTCTTTTGCAGGCTGATACCAGACTCAACGTAGCTCCGAAGCCATCCAATGAGCAACGCAGTCCTGAGAACAGGTTCGTTGGCACGGCAACCGAACGTGCTACGACACCAGCAGCATCCGACATGATGACAGGACGATTCAAGTCAAAATGCAGCACCATATTGCGCCGTTTCTCAGTCGCCATCACAATTGAAGAAAACGGTATAACTGGCTGGAGTTATGTTTGAGCATAACTTGAAATACCACATTATCCTCTTTACCAGCTTTGATTTGGCTGAACTTGAGAGGCAAAAACTATTAATCGCTAGAAATCCAATTGTCCACTAGTGCATGTATGGTACGCGTACATGAACGTTGACACGCTGCGTTGTAGAAGCACACAATCAGGTAGGCAATTTACTTTTTTGTCTTTGTCACTTGTTAATGGCACGCCTTCAATATCGTCAAGATAAAAAACCGTTAGGAAACAGCCTTGTGCACAACGTAATGTTCTCCAGGCTCAACACTATTTTGCGTCTCTTACTACTCCTATACAATCCGCGCCATGTCAGTTTGCCATCTCGATTATATCTACGCATGGTCGAAGGGGTTTGCTAGCACATATATGATTAAATTATAGAAATGCTATGTTGCCGGGGTCCTTCGTAGGAGAGAGTGATTGATACCTATGCACCAGAAATAGCCGATCAAAGTGGCAAGGCATTTTCAATACACACGCAAAACTCCCTTGATTGCGAATACGTAAATGTTCTTTAGAGTCAATCGAATATTTTTTTCTTAGCCTAGTGTTGACTACGTCCTTCGAATCCTTCCATTGTTCCCAGAGAAAGTAGTTACAAAAGTTTGAGTACCGTTGCATAGCCTTTGTAAGATCGGGCTATCAAAAGTTATTGTCGAGGGAGCAGGTTCAAGTTGACTCCGGTATAGCCTCGAAACCTTCAGGCGGAGGTCGAGTCCAAGCCTTTCTGCCGTTTCGCCAAAGGACGCTTTACCGAGTCGAAACTTTCAGCTGGTAGTTCGTTCAAGTCCAAACTTTCAGTCGGTAGCTCGTTTAAGGTGTTACCTTCAGCTGGTAGCTCGCTCGAGTCCAAACCTTTCTGCCGTTTCGCCAAAGGACGCTCTACCGAGTCGAAACTTTCAGCTGGTAGCTCGTTCAAGTCCAAACTTTCAGTCGGTAGCTCGTTTAAGGTGTTACCTTCAGCTGGTAGCTCGCTCGAGTCCAAACCATTCTGCCGTTTCGCCAAAGGACGCTTTACCGAGTCGAAACTTTCAGCTGGTAGTTCGTTCAAGTCCAAACTTTCAGTCGGTAGCTCGTTTAAGGTGTTACCTTCAGCTGGTAGCTCGCTCGAGTCCAAACCTTTCGGCTGTTTCGCCGGTAGCTCGCTCATGTCGTGAGTTATCTTCCGTTTTGCCGGTGGACGCTTTACCGAGTCGAAGCTTTCAGCTGGTAGCTCGTTTAAGTTGATACCTTCAGCTGGTAACTCGTTCAAGTCCAAACTTTCAGTCGGTAGCTCGTTTAAGGTGTTACTTTCAGTTGGTAGCTCGTTCGAGTCCAAACCTTTCTGCTGTTTCGCCGGTAGCTCGATCATGACGTGAGTTATCTTCCGTTTCTTCGGTGGAAGCTTTAGCGAATCGAGACTTTCAGCTGGTAGCTCGTTCGAGTCCAAACTTTCAGTCGGTAGCTCGTTTAAAGTGTTACTTTCAACCGGTAGCGCATTCAAGTTAAGGCCTTTTTGTCGTCCCGCCGTTGGATGCTCTTCCGAGTCGAAACTTTCAACCGGTAGCTTGCTCACTGGTGCTTCTGGTCTTGCTTCTGCTTCTGCTAGTGCTTCTGGTCGTGCTTCTGGTCGTGCTTCTGATAGTACTTCTGGTGGGGCTTCTGGTGGGGCATCCGCTTCTGCTAGTGCTTCTGGTGATGCCTCTGCTAGTGCTTCTGGTGATGCCTCTGCTAGTGCTTCTGGTGGTGCTTCTGCTAGTGCTTCTAGTGGGGCTTCAGGTGAGGCATCTGGTGGAGCTTCTGGTAGTGCTGATGCTGGTGCTTCCGGTGCTAGTGCTACTTCTGGTGCTAATGCTGGCGCTGATGTTGATGCTGATGCTTCCGGTGCTGGTGCTACTGCTGGCGCTGACGCTGATGTTGATGCTATTGCTGATGCTGCTGGTGGTGCTGGTGTTGATATTGGTGGACGCTCTTCCAGGTCAGAATTCTGCGGTTTCGAAGGTTTCGGCGATCGCTTTTTCAAAGCTTTTTGCAGTTTCAAAGGTTTCGGCAAACTTTTTTCGAATCCTTTTGCACTTTCGGAAGTTTCTGCAATCCTGTTTCCAAAATTCTTGCAGTCTTTGTAAGATAGGTATCTTCCTCTTGCTTTTGTCATCTAGATCATCCTTGCTCTTCCTCCTTTTACTAACGTTGATTGCATCGATTGCTTTAATTCTGTCGTCTAAAACATCCACCAAAGCATCCTTGCTTTCGAAATACGATAACAGTACGTCAAGCATCACCTTATCTGCCTTTTCTGGGTTACGGTATCGATCCCGGACGAATTTAACCCAGTTGAAAAAGACCGGGCTTTTCAAAGGGTTGTCTTTCGTCTTGTGGAGCTGCAAAAGGTCGAAAACCTCTCTGTCAGATATGTTGTCGTCATGGACCCACTTCGCGATTCGATAGTCCAGCAAACTTCTTGCGAGGTGTTTCAACGGACCGATACCCGATTTTGCTCCCACAACTAGAAAATCGGTCAGATCATCGCCCTCGTAATGTTTTTCCAAAACGTTAAACATCTTCTTATTACGTTTGTTCCTGGCTTTCTTGTAAGTGCTCGCATTGCTTTTGGCCTTAGGGACGGAGTATTTGGTCTTTACAAAAGCGAGCCACTGGGAAATGATTGGGTTTGTGAAAGGATTCTTTTTTGGCTGATCGAGCTGCAAAAGCTTAAATACCTCTGCCTCATTTTGCCCGTCCTTTATCCACTTCTTGATCTGAGAGGCTAGCAGTAATTTAGCTTCCCCTTTCTTACCGAATTTATTCTTTTTCAAAACTAAAGCACTGGCGAGAGCATGATCGTTCTTCAACTTATGTGCTACTGGCTCGAATATCGCCTTGTCTACCACATGTATTGAAGTTTCGTACAATTCCGCCAACGATATCCTGAATTGGGCTAGCCAGCTGTTTGTTAACTTGTCGGGGGTGAGTTTAAAAACCCTTACCTTGACATTATTAAATAGCGATAGCTTGTCTTGCTTATCCAAACCTTCAAGTGATTCAAACATATCTGATTGAAAGCTCTTCAAGATATCGCCAATATCCTTTGTTCTCTCTTCAAGTGTGTCGTCAAAATTACTTGATCTCATGCTCACGTTTAAGTCAAAATGAGTAGTATTCAATGAAGCATAGTCGTAGGTGGTGCGCATGGTATCCTCACGCATCGCGGAGGCCACACTCACAGCCGACCATGCGACCAGCGCGAAAAAAACAAGCAGCATCATCGTGAGTTATGCTTGACGTCAGTGTGCAGTGGTCTGGCAGGCAAAAAATGTAAAGTGGGGAGCTGTATGTGACCTCGATTGGCTGCCGGAACGTTGAATTGTTGGAAGGCCAGACATCAATAACCCGCCTGGCTATTCTGCACTGAGGGTATTATCCTTTATCGCCTTTTCTAGCTGTACCACGGAAGTATCTCAAGGGATTGAGCACATCGCGAGCCGTACCCTTATCGACAATACGTAGGACATAAAACATGTCGAGAATAATTAGCACGCGCTAAGGCAGCTAAAAAGACGACGTCGTCAGCTCTAAAGCGCCGCGTTTCATGTGTACAAGTCTGCGGACGGCGACGTACGTGTAAGCGAGTGTTGTGACCGTTGTAGCTCTGCACGGAATGCTGGACGGAGGGCTGGAAGAAACGCTGGATGTACGACAGACCTTTTCTTTCTTCCGCGTAGCTCTCGTGAATTGGAGGCCTTTATATGAGATTTGAACCATACGTCCAGTATAGAACAGTTGACTGCAGGTAGTTAAAGTAGCCCCCATACCTCGCATAAAAGTCAGCCATGCACCATTCCTAAACTGTGGCTAGGGCTTTCTTTTTGCGCTGTACTATTCAAATCACACATAAACATGAAATTACAAACGACCTGACGATCTGACCGCAGATAATCGTGTAAGTCTCTAGATGGTGCTGCAGTCACAGTTGCTAACATCACACAGGTCTTGGACTTGTTCATCGCTTTGTAAATGCAATGTAGCTGCCGCTGGCATGCCAAAGTGAGCGCTGCCGGGGAAGTAAACACATCCAAACAGATCCCCTCGGTCGCTTATTGCGCCACTGATATCTGAGCTGTGTTCAAAGCCGAGTACGTGGACAAAGTTAGTGTGTCTTCATTGTTGTGATGTATCCTCTACGTTCTATGAGACAAAAAATAATAGTGGCACGCTCTGATGGTTTGCTTGCGCAATTACAGCGACGTTAGACACTACTATGTTTATGGCCGCTATTTTATATGTATATGTTATTCGATTGTGCTGGTGGCTTGCACTGGGATCCACAGTAAATCGACATCAGACACCGGTAGCAAACTCGCAAATTACTTTACGGATTGCCCATTTATATCGATTGATCATTTCTTCATCTTCACTCGAAAATTGTGATGCGACCTTCGTGCTCCGGATAGGCCAGCAGCCGCTTTTTCATCATGAAGTCGGCCACGACTTCAGGAACTTTAGCAGCCTCACGTAGAATATCTCCCTTTAGCCATGATGTGCAGCCATCGCCGCCACTAGCAACAAACTTGGACGTGGCCACGAGGAGCTCCATTTTCATGTCCACCGGCCTGCCATTGACGTCTACCATTTTAGTAATCGCTGGGGGGTCTGAATGCATGTCGATGGTCAAGCGTAGTCCAGACACATGAGGGTGCGAGCCGCTCTGCTGCGGGTATTTGCACAAATGCTGAATCAACGCGTCACGTAGGTCGCTAGCTTGAATTCGCACAAGAACAGCAGGCCGCGGAAACGGCATCTCGTGCTTCAAAATGCCGACTGTGATGTTAGACTTAGCGGAATACTCCTTGTCTCCTCGGATAAAGCCTCCATTGATAAAACCCACATCAGCGAATAATTCACTGCGTAAAGCATCTGCGACCATGTTACCTCCATTGCTTTCTCCAGCTCGCAAAAGTGCTGTTCGCGTTGACAATGAAGTTGCCAAGGTAGCCAATACACAGTCATTCTTTCCCGGATCATTTTCACTTTCCATTTGGCGCATGTATTTGTAAAGAATTTGCTGGCACGCCGGCTGCGGTGGCTGGTATGCGTTTGCAATCATACTCCATTGCGGCAAGACGACAAGTCCACGTTCGGGATATTTCGCTGACCGCTTCAATTCAAACTCGAGCTTTGCCAACCAAAGAGCGTTCTGTCCTGATTTGTGAATGAATGTATTGCCTTCGTACATTGTAAACGGGTCGTGGTCATGTCCACCAAGCACCAAATCGATGCCAGGTACTTGGCGAGCAAGTCTTTTATCCTGCGTAATCGACAAATGTGTAAGTGCCAGGATGAAGTCTGCTCCTTTAGCTTTTAAAGCGTCAACACACCGCCGAGAGGTGGAAAAAATATTCTCAAACTCGACGCTATCACCCGGAAACGACAACGTCGGGGTTTCCTCCGTGCAAACACCAAATACTCCTAACTTAAGTCCGTCTTTCAGATCAACAATTTCTGTATCCACGACACCTTCAAATAGTGCACCTGATGTCGAATCAAGCACATTGGATCCAAACCATTTCGCAGACGAGTTTCGCATGCGTGCTTTGAGTTCATCAGTGCCAAAATCAAATTCGTGATTGCCCAGTACGACGTAATCAATATTCAGATGATTCATTAACTCAATGATGTGTTCTCTATATGATACACAATACAAGAGTAAACATTCAATTTAGTAAGTGAGCAATTGTATCGACTAGCTAACGCACCCTTTAAAACGTTCGGCTATTTCCGAACCAGACAAAAAGTCTCCGTTCAGTGTGACTAATAGGGTCACATCCTGTGGTACTGTTGCTTTATGTTGCTCTAACAGTGTTGCAAATTCTGCAATACCCCCATGTCCGTGATCATTTGGAACCAAATCATACACGTCATTAACAGATAAAATTACAAGCTTGGCACTTTGGTCTTTTGTAACCTGTTTCTTGGGCTCTAAACTAGTTGGAATATGATTTGAAGTTGTATCACTTACGGATGGTGAAGAAGATGACAGAAGGTCGGTCGTCTCTGTCATAACGTCTTTTACTTTATTGTAAGAATTAGAAGTGTATTAAAAAATTAGAGTAATTACCATTTCATGCATTTTTATTGGATGAAAAGCGATGAGGTGCTTGTAACATCTACAAAACAAATTATCACTTAAGTAGGACATGGAAGGGGATCTACGTGATTAACTGTTATGCAGCAAGTACAATTCCTGAAATAAGCAATTGATTAAACCCGTATTAATTTATATAATTCCATATACATCAAAACATGTCAAACATATGCAAGCGTCAACCATGATTAACTAGAGTCTATAACTTCAACTATTTCAATAGATCGATGCACCTCTTGAGTACCATCGCTGCATTATTTTTCAATACACCTTGTACTCTCAAGTAACTACTTGATTAACATCATGGCTTTGGCGTTATCCGTGAACCTGAACATATTACGCAAGATATTACAATTGAGCTACTCGCGAATTTGGTAAGCTCATTGCCACAAGCTCCACACCGCAACATTGACAAGCTATCCTGGGACGAGCTGGTGTCGTTCAAAACGCATTGCGTTGCTTTCTTGAGAGATTTTACGCCACGTTGACACCGGAGTTCACTCAGAAGCTCACATCTACATGCACCGCTGCGGTTGGTTAACCATAAATGCATATCAATGTATCAGTTAAGATCATTGTGTGCCTGTCGTTCCGTAGGTCAATGTGATATGTCGTCTCGACGGGCATTGCAACGTGGTTACACGACGGTTGGAACATCATACCGAATGTTTACGATTGAAGTTTCTATCTAACTATATAATAAAAGAATACTGTCTGTCTGTCTGTTTGATCCTTTTCCGGCATTTGGATTGGCTACTTTTGCATTATTCCTAATTTTGGATTGGCTGAATATGTTTTTTGCATCGATATTAACATGAGCAGATTTCCATAACTGAATATAGTATATCCCATGTGTTCGTATCCCGTGCTTTTATATACAATACATCGACGAAATGATGGATACATACACCTAGAGGTGGTACCCATGAGTCTGGGTTGGGTAATTGCGTTTACCCACGACTCAGACTCATTCAAAATTTAATTACCCACGACTTGGACTCATACCCGCGGGTAATTACCCATGTTACCCGCGCAATTAACATGCAGAGTTGCGGACTATTAAACAATATATAAGGGAGAAAAACATTATGAAAATTGGTAATAAAAGTATCCACACTCTACGTCTCCCACGTGGGAAGTTCAAGCGGGCTGACAAAGGAAAAAAATTGTCCCTTGCTGACAAAGAAACGTGGCTCTGTGTCCTTATCCAATCCTTGAGGCACAAAAGCCTCTCCAAGCTTTTAAGGAAAGCGAAGTTCTGTTTTACCTGTATTTCTTCTACCTTGAGAGAAAACTTTATAAGACGGAGTTGAAGACGCGGGGATAGCCAGATAAAATATTGCCATCCTTGCAAGTTTCGGGAATTGCAGCTGATGCAGTGCCCACCACTCCAATGGCAACTAGTATATGTGAACAGGCGAAAGAGTAAAATAAGTCTGAGCTCTCTCCTCGACTTTGCTCACTGCGGTCTATAGAACTCTGCCTTCAGCAAATGCGAAGACGTCTGGCTCCATGTCGTCATCGCTCATGCGTTACTAATGTTGACAGGTGGCAGAAGCAGGATATATTCTAATGGACTTCTGATTCATGTATGCTACATCCACAAACAGCAACTCAATTGTTGGAATAAGTTGAAGAACAGTGGAAGTTGCTGGCAGTTGGCAGTGGATGGCAAGGAATGTGAATGGCAGTTGGTGTGCTTCATGGTTGACGGTATGAGAGGGGAGTCGTGCTGACGCAGAGTCCCAGGTTGTACTTGCCAACTGGAATACGTCTTAAAGAGATGTATGTTAGGACAGTAGGGCTTGTATTGTATGGTAAAATTGAACGACAGTTCCGAAATTGTATCGTGTGACACAAGTGTAAATTACAACAATTGCTTCTGGGCTATGGCCAAGAGCCCAAAATTGCTTTGGCCCTTCGTCGAGGTTGTTGAACCAGCTGATATTCCATATTGGATCTAACACCGTTGCAAAGAAGTTTGCATCCTGCTTAAACGCCAGCTTGATATATATTTCTTGAGTTTGCTTAGCATGGCCTGCGCCACCGGCTCCAGTTGCTTTGCATCATATGTGCGGTAGACTTTCACCAAAAAAGGCGTAATGAGTCATTAATACATTAAACAATTAAAAATCAATACGAGAAGGTGTGTCTGATGTATCTCCCAAAAATTTGGTACATTTACCCATGGGTACCCATGGGTAAGTTGGTTAATTGAGGCCAATTACCCATACCCAACCCATGAGTCTGGGTATGGGTAATTACCCACTGAGTCTGAGTCTGGGTACCACCTCTACATACACCCTCCATACCCATCGGTACATACTGCTAGAGGTGGTACCCAGACTCAGACTCAGTGGGTAATTACCCATACCCAGACTCATGGGTTGGGTATGGGTAATTGGCCTCAATTAACCAACTTACCCATGGGTACCCATGGGTAAATGTACCAAATTTTTGGGAGATACATCAGACACACCTTCTCGTATTGATTTTTAATTGTTTAATGTATTAATGACTCATTACGCCTTTTTTGGTGAAAGTCTACCGCACATATGATGCAAAGCAACTGGAGCCGGTGGCGCAGGCCATGCTAAGCAAACTCAAGAAATATATATCAAGCTGGCGTTTAAGCAGGATGCAAACTTCTTTGCGACGGTGTTAGATCCAAGATGGAATATTAGCTGGTTCAAAAACCTCGACGAAGGGCCAAAGCAATTTTGGGCTCTTGGCCATAGCCCACAAGCAATCGAGCTGATTTTTGTGGAAACAGCATACAGTCACAGGTGGCGGAGGCGGGATTTGGTCATAAGAACAAATCCCGCCTCCGCGACCTGTCAACATTTGTAACGACAAGAGCGATGACGACATGGAGCCAGAAGTCTTCGCATTTGCTGAAGGCAGAGTTCTATAGACCGCAGTGAGCAAAGTCGAGGAGAGAGCTCAGACTTATTTTACTCTTTCGCCTGTTCAAATACACTAATTGCCATTGGAGTGATGAGCACTGCATCAGCTGCAATTTCCGACACTTGCAAGGATGGCAAGATTTTATTTGGCCATCCCCGCGTCTTCAACTCCGTCTTATAAAGTTTTCTCTCAAGGTAGAAGAAATACAGGTAAAACAGAACTTCGCTTTCCCCTAAAAGCTTGGAGAGGCTTCTGTGCCTCAAGGATTGGATAAGGACACAGAGCCACGTTTCTTTGTCAGCAAGGGACTATTTTTCTTTTGTCAGCCCGCTTGAACTTCCCACGTGGGAGACGTAGAGTGTGGATACTTTTATTACCAATTTTCATAATGTTTTTCTCCCTTATATATTGTTTAATAGTCCGCAACTCTGCATGTTTATTGCGCGGGTAACATGGGTAATTAACCGCGGGTATGAGTCCAAGTCGTGGGTAATTAAATTTGAATATGTCTGAGTCGTGGGTAAACGCAATTACCCAACCCAGACTCATGGGTACCACCTCTACATACTGCCATATCAACACAGCATGTAGTTTAGAAGTTATATAAGGTACATGCTTTTATTCGTTTCCAAACATGGGCTTAGTACTCAAATAAAATACTAAAAGGTTAGCAAAAGCAAGCGTTGTCAAAGAGTTGAATTGAGTTCAGTTACAATAAGCGCATTGACGAAAACGAAATGCATAACATACCAGAGTCAACCGGATATATAAAAGTAGAAAGATAAGTAAGAAGATCAAAAGGCAGCCTTCGTTTAATATATTTGTCGGAATGATGGGTATACATTGACCTGCGAAACGACAGGTTTACATTGACGGGCGTCGACAGGTACATTTTCATTTCAGACACCTTGACTTAAATACACATTGACTTCATAGGTAGCAATCACCTGATTTAACCAAATATATAAAAGTAAAGTGATAGGTCAATGTACTATCCACGTAGAATTCGCGCACCTATCTGTCGGGTCGGCGGGCACCATCAACAAATTGCACACAGGTTCAAGTAGCATCACAACAGCTAATTGATACACCAACGTTCATTCCTTTATACAATATAATATATATATATATATATATATTAATTGCGCGCACATGGTCCGTCGAAACTAAGGGTACATATTCCTTGAGAAGCGCTACGTTTTATATGTTTCTATACTATTAGCGTCAACTTCCCACGAATGGCCGTCGGTACGACTGGTGAACATTCTAGCAATTTGTCAGTGTGACGGTGGAACACACTAACAGACGTAGCTGATGGAACCATGATGCAATCATTCATTGATTCACCGGGTTCAGGCATCATCGAAAAATAAATGACTGTATATTAAAGCGTTCTAGAAATTCGCTGATGTGAACCCGGTTGATTGACGGGTTTACATTGGCCTGAATACACATTGACCTCAATACCTATTTATTTTACCTAGGCAAAGTGATAAGCCAATATACTGTCAGCGTACAATTTGCGCACCTATTCGTCGGACCTTTCCGTCGCAACGATTAGGCACCCTAACTAATTTTGCACTAACGTAAACAGATTCTGTAAGCAGATTTCCATCACTGTTAGTAATATGTATTATGTTTAGCAAGTCCGTTGGAACGACGGGTGATCGCCCTAGCAATTCGTTGCGATATACATACTCCTTTGTACCGTTAGAACGACGGGTAATAAATTGAAAAAATGACGAATAGAAGAGTACACATTGACCTTCATATCCATCTTTACCCTAAGTCAATCTGATTATCTAATGTATGTTGATGGGTTTACAGGTCAAAAGGCAGACCATGTTCGTCGAGACGACAGGTATACATTGACCTTCATACACATTGCCTTTATAACTAATCAATTTCCTATGTCAATATACGATCAATGTCAAATTTGTGCACCTATCGGTCGAAACGACGGGGACACCCCTATATTTGTATATATGTATCAATAGCATAACACCATG